CGCCATTTCCGCCTTTTGGCCGTACGTTCACTTTTAGTTTGGTTTCCACGCAATCCTTTATAAATGAGACCCCAGGGGAGGGACAGAGGTTATATGTTGGAGGATGTTACAGATGCAATTGCTGTGGGGGGAAAACAGACAAAAAGGAGATATAAAGATGCAGGAAGAGAGGACATGGAGGTAGTCAGAGTGAGGATAGGGTGAGATAGAAGAGGTGGTGGTCAAAAGAAGATGGTTGCAATCATTTTAAAATGTTTTTTTTTTTCAGCTCCTTTGGCCGCCAGATGTTATTCCCTTGTCAAAGAGGAGACGGATGAGGAGTTTGACTCCCGTTGGGCCACTTATTTTAGCAACCCTGACATTGATGCCTGGGAGCTGAGGAAAGGTGATAATACTTGTTGTTGATTTTTTTTTTTATGATTTAATGGCTATTTCTTGTTAATTAAACTTTTGTTGCTGCTATGAATTTGAGTTGTTTTAAAACCAAAATAGTATTTTCTTCAGGCTGGGCTGACTCGCTCTGATCTGGATTTAATTCCACTAATTTTTTCTTAATTTAGTTATGTCTTGTTTCTGATTATAAAAACATCAAAATCTGTCAACTGTTTTTTTTATTAATCCTGCTCAGTATAACCATCTGTAGGAGGTCTTGTTGAAAGCCATGCGTTACTTTTTCACCTCTAAATGACATTGCTGCTTCTGTTAAATAATGTGGCTGTTGTCTATTGTTTGAACCTAAAGGCATGAACACCCTGATTGGGTATGACCTGGTACCGGAACCCAAGATACTGGACTCAGCTCTCAGGGCCTGTCGGAGATTGAACGATCTGGCGAGCGCCATCCGTATCCTTGAGGCCGTCCGGGTTAGTCACTTTCTATTTATTGGCTCAGCTGGAGCTCCTTCCCTTAAATTTGTTCTGGTAAACGATGCAGTTCTTCAGAGGTAACGGACAGGAATTTGAAAGAATAAAGTAAAAGAAGAACAAAAAATAAAATCTAAGACAAGATCTTATTGTTTTAGACGAGCATTTGTCAACCTCTTGTTGAAACGTTTACCTGTGACTAAAATGTTTTTTTTTCCCCTCTTAACATTATTGCATCTTTTCTTGTAGGACAAAGCAGGTCCTCACAAGGACATCTATCCCTACCTGATCCAGGAGCTGAAGCCCACCCTCACAGAACTTGGCATCTCAACACCAGAGGAGCTTGGAATTGACAAGTTGTAGACAGTCAGGGTGAGAATGCACTAAATCCTACACTGACTCACACAGAGCAGCTGTGGCTCTGTGGTTATAGCAGTCATCCTCCAACGAGTGAGCCTGGGGTTCAAYTCCACCAACATACAGTCACRTGTAGAGGGGCAAGGCACTGAAGCTCCTCATTGCCKCCGRTGTTGTAAAGCTTTTTGAGTATTCTGTTTGATAGGAAGAAGCTATATAAGTGTGGTTCGTTTATACACACACTGTGCAAATTGACTCACTCAAACTACACACAAACAGAACAGAACATGCTTACAGTTCTGAACTTGTCTCTTTCTTCTGCTTTCAGGACCTTTTCTCATGAAGAGACAAGTTCTCCTGATTTTCTCCTGTTGAAAATGTCAATATTGTTAATTCAAAGTTTTCTCTCCTGTTGTGTACAAATTAAAGGAAATATTAATCACTTTATTGAGTCGTTGACTTTTTGGGAAAAAAAATTGTGTGAAATGGGTGTGCCATTACAAAGTAAAATACAAACTACTGCTTTTTACTTTTAACAGGAATGCTGGAAAACATCTAGTAATATAAAGTTTGAGAAATTATTAAAGATCTGTGCTGCTCCTCTGAGAACAGGATTTATGACGGCTGGAAATGGACATTTACTTCTAGTATTTTTTCAGATACTGACAGCTATGGAAAAGAGAAAACAGGAAGTGGATCAACATTATCAAATTAATCTTTGATTTTCTTTTTTTCATCACCATTGTTTTGTTTTTTTTCTTGAGTTTTTGGAGAACCTACATGCACACTTGTGTAGATTGTAGAATGCAAAGAAACACTAAAAGTGCAGACCTTTTATCATGACAWATTGCACTGTATCGTCAATCACAAACCCAAAAGCAAAGTTTTTATTTTACTTGGAATGGGGAAACAAAAAAAGCGTTTTTTTTTATAGAAAAAATGTAATTAAAAGTCACCTCTTACAAAAAGGTTCATTTCTGACCATTATATAAGCACTGATCATAAATTTTATGATGTTCTGGTGTCAAACATGGGCAGAAACAGGAAAATCTGAGAAGTAAATATTGCATGTTATGAGTGGAAATTAAAGAAAACTTGAGTCTGAACTCTGAAGTAGCTACAAATATTTGCCATTAATTAGCACAAAACTAGGATAAAAGGACTTTTTGCAGATTTTCAGTATGTTCTCTGCCGCCAGGTGGCGCCAAAAACCTGCAAATGCTGTTTGAGTTAAAGTAAAAAATAATTGTACTTCATTATACATGCTGCAGACAGTCAAACCATTGCCCAGTAAAATAGTATATTATTAAATTAATAGATTTGTTTACTGATCTAATTTTTTTGCGTCCTTTTAGTGTAAAACCAGAAACTAAAATGAGTTTGATAAAGTTTCCAACATAAATTGAAGCCATCATGGCATCTGATTATTTATTACTATTGTATTAATAATTATTTAAAGCTATCTTGAGTTGCTCGGGGATTTATTTTGGATTTTCTTTCCCCCCGGAAGCATAAACCTCAGCTGACTGAGTGGCGTTAGCCTGGCTGGCTAACAGGAGAAGTGCCTGACTGTGTTTATTTATGGAGGACGGCCGTCATGACAGTGTCGGGGTGTAAACTGTGACAAATTAATCCAAGATGATGAACGACATAATGGAGGAGCCTGAAAGAGACGCCGTGCTGGATTCGCCGCAGGAACAACAGGTTTTGTCGGTGAGTCGACCGAGGCTCGTTGGTTTGGAGCTTAGCTTGTCACAAACAGGAAAGCTAGGCTAGCTAGTTAGCTTAGCTCGTCTGACAGTTAATTTGACTTGATGACAGCTCACAGTCCGCTTCAAGGTGTTTTCACTGCTCTCCATTTCACAGAAATGACTTGTAGCCTTTGTTTTGGATTTGAGTTTAATTTCGAYATCTTTATATATCCACGACTCATCAGAGTGCAAGTTTACTGGAGACAGACTTTACACCCAAACAAATTGATGTGTTTGTTTATCCAACCTTTAAAAAAATAATAAAATAAATACTTGAGTTATTCCTCACGTGATGTTAGTGTTCCTCAAAGTCAGCGTCGGGACCCTTTTTGGGTTCGTTTAAATATCAAGGTGAGGGTCTTGACATTATTTTTGTAATTGAAAATAAGTTCAGAGATAGTCATGTGTTACAAAGTAGCATGGCCTCCAAAAAGAGGAGCCAAGAGTGATAGGCAACCCTATTCCCCTGTTAGGATGAGTAGAACCTCAAACATAAAAAATAACATTGTTTTGGAGCAATTAGGGGTTAAATTGAGGAGGTGAATTTTTTTGTTTTTATTATTTGTTTTATCATATGTGTTTTTTTTTTAAAAGGAGCAGATATAAAAAAAATTTTCTTCTGCTGCCTTTCATTTTATTTTGTGTTGTTTTGTTGTGTGTGAAATGTTTTGTTTGTTATTTAATGACTTGGACTGTATATAGGGTTGGGCATAATCGTATCGTGTGCAATTAATCGTCAGAAAAACACTGTTTATTTTTTGGCACTTGACGATTAATACGATTAATGCCACTAGGGCTGCCATGATTAATCGATTATTCGATGACTAATCGATTATTAAAATAATCGATGACTAATTTAATAATCGATTAATCGTTTTCTTTTTCTTTTTTTTTTTTTGTTGTTGTTCTTTACTTTGGTTTTCTCTCCAAACTGCTTTGACACCTTCCACTGCCACATCTGCCTTTCTGTCCTTGACACACATGCACAGTAGTGGTAACTGGGGTAGGCCGTGGACGTCACAAGACATTATACAGACAGGCTCTGGTATCATGGCTACTCTGCAACAGCTCAAAGTGTGGGATCATTTTAAGAAAATGAAAGAGAAACCTGTGCAATATCTGCAGAGCAGAACTTACCTTCCACAGCAATTATTTTTAGTTAGCATATAGCTAAAATCTAACAATGGTTATATAATAGCAGCTGCATTCTGACGTGATAAACTGAATGTTTTATATTCAATTAACGTATGATCTGATTAGTCGACTAATCAAAAAAAATCGGTGATTAATCGATTATAAAAGTAATCGTTTGTGGCAGCCCTAAATGCCACCAGGCAGAGTCCGCTCGGTGCTCCTCTCCGCTTCAAATATGATAAACATTTTTAAAAAGTTCTGTAATTTATTTATCTATCAACACAGTTTAAAATTTGATTTAAAGCCTGAAGTTTGTAATTTTAACACAATTTGGAACAGATTTTTATAAAGAGCAAATCTTGGTCATGTGACTAGGACATAAGATTGCCCAGGAACTCCAGGGGTTTAATCGTCAAATTAATCATTATCAGCTAAATACCACAATTAATCGTGATTAATTTTTTTGCCAATATTGCCCAACCCTACTTGTATAACAAAAAAATTTTTTTTTGTAAACAACACTTAAAATCTAGTCCCCCTGAATAAAGACAACTTGTCTAAAACCAGTGTCCTCAATATTTACAATTACGGGTCACAGGAAGTAATACGCATAATATATTTCATAGTTGTAAATTTAGGACAGACCAATCTTTAATAAGTCAAATGATAACGCTATTCTTAATAAGTGTCAACAGTAAAAAAAATAAAAAAGAAGAAGCTGATTCTCTTTCTTCCGTGCATACGTAAATGTTAGCTGAAATGATAGCTGTTCCCCTTTTCTAATTTCAGGGACCAGCCAGCAGCACAAGACCCAAAACCACAGATGGAGGCGTCAGGCCGGTGGAGAAAAGAGGACCTTACATCATGTCCAGAGCTCCGGCCATTCACCTCAAACTACGTGAGTAATGTCCTTACCACAAAGACAGACTGAAACGGCTCAATCTCAGCCAGCAGTCGTGGTGTGAATGCTTTTATTCGTTCAGTTGTGTGCATAGGAAGTGATTTACAGAGCAGCTAACTTGTTTATCAGACTATGAAATCATAGTGTGGTGTGTGGGCGGGGCTTAACAGCTTCAAGGGGTCCAGATAGATTAGAAAATCATAGAGAATTATTAATTTAGCGTTTACACCGGAGAGAGAATTGCTGTGTGTGTTTTGCTAAAGGCCAGGCAATTCTCCTACATCAAGATTATTTCGGCTCAGAGGAGTTATTGATGCAGTAAATCTGCCCATGGTGGGAGGACATATTTAGTACCTCACCTCAGTGTGTCGTTAAAATAGCTTCCACTCGTTTGGTATCAAACAAGCCAAATGGACTGTACTTACATAGTGCCTTTCTATCAACCCATGATTGATTTATTATTGGGTTGCACAATTAGAATTAGCCGATGTGTAAATACTAGGTGCAGCAGAATTGTTTTATCAACATGTCCCTGATTGATTGTGTTCTGATCTCAGAGTCAAACAGTTCTCCTGGGAGAGCTGGCGCCTCATGTTCAAGTGTCTGATAAGAACTGGAGCTGCACTAAAGCTTTCTGTCCTTATCTTAAGGACAAATACATTAGCTCTGACGTTCATGTTGACGTTATATTAATCAAACCAGTCTGTCATCATTTGCAGCATATTTTTTTGCTTTGTAATTTTTCTTTTTACGTTTTCTAATAATCCAAAGAAAAACACAGAGAGATGGCGAGGAAGGCCCTGAAGAAGAAGGCGCTTTCATCKGGGCCCCTGGTGGCTCATCAGCCCAGACAAGGGGTTAAAAGGTGAGGAAGCATGATGGGAAATCAGGAAGCCACGTTCTACAATGTCAGCATGATACACGGGAAGATTTATTTTCTCTGAAATATTTCTGTTTCTCTTTTTTTGTTGTTGTTTTAGAACAGTGAAATACAACAAGGGCTACGCTGCTTTGAGTCAGCAGGCTGATGAAACCCTAGTCGCTCTGGACTCTGACAGGTGAGGTCACAAAACAAAGTCTTATTTCATATCCTGCGCTTACGTCAGTATTTTAAATCCTATAAACTTTGACAGGTTTTGGGAGTTAAACTGATAACAAGTAGTCAGTATCTTACCTGCAGTAGATTTCAAACCACAGCTTAGCCTATTAGCTTTCGTGTTAGCCATAAATATATGACAATTAAGTGTTAGCACCTGAGCTTATACATTACATATTGGTGATATAGCATTAGCTGCTAACTAATGCCACGCATTTATCACCAATATACGTACATGGCTTTAGTAGGTGGATAAAGCTCGCTTGCAAAAAAACAAAAAGCCTCGTAATAAATAGCCTCAAGTAAACGTCATTATTTACCCGTTATGCTTTGAGGTGTAGATAAAATGATGCAGCCTGCGTGTGACAATATATATTTTAAAATTAATAAAAACTAAACAGCCTGCAGTATATTTAGTCTTTGTTTTTCATTTGAAGTAAATGAAATAATGTCTAATATTAAAACAAATCAGAGTTCCCTTTAAAAYGTTTTCAGCTCATAAACACGTGGCTCCTGAACTCACTCTTGTTTTAAAAGTTGAATATGTTTATTTTCCTCAGCGATGAAGAGATTGATTTTGAGCAGTACTCTTCAGGATACTCTTCAGCAGAGGTGAGTTTGGTTCCCAGAACATTTCTCAGATTTCTTTGAATCTCTTTTTGGCACTTCGTCAAACTGGCTGTATGACAAGTTTCTCATGGGAGTGGAAGTAAAATCAATCCTCTTATCACTCGGGGCTTTATTAAAACATTTTTTTTGTTTTGTTTTTTTCCCTTACCTAATCTGTTCACGAACACAACAATGCTTCAGAGCACAATCTCGAGGAAGTAGATCAATGAAACACTCACCTTTTATGTTTCAGTAAACGTCTCAGGGTAAATATTTGACATATTTGACACATTATTTCCCTGGAACTAGCAGGCGGCTTCTCTGCACAACAAACACTGGAAGTTTTAAAGGGATCCATGATTAGTTGTAACATTAGACTTTATTTGATAAACATATTTTAACTGTGAAATAAAGACTGTAAAAATACTGTAGGCTGTTTAGTTTTTATAATTTTTAAACTAAAAGTTTAAAAATATATTACACAAACGGGGCCATTTTATTTACACTCAAAGCATTCTGCGTAAATGATGACATGGATAGGTCCTCGGTGTGAGCGAGCTATATCCACCCTGAAGGTTAATCTTGGACAGTATCTGATGATCGACTCTTTTAAATGAAACCAGAGAGCGTTGACAGAGAGGAGAAGGTAGAAATGACTCAGCCTGTAACTGAAAATATGGATGGAGGACAACAGAGCTGCTTCATGGAAGAAGAACCTCAGCTTAGCCTGTTAGCTTTAGCGTTAGCCCCAACGCTATCACCATAAATATGTATTAGCTCAGAGCTACACATTCTCCTCTCGTCACTGAGGTCCTCCATCCACATGACAGAGAGGGGAACACAAAAATGACTCAGCCTGTAACTGAAAATATGGATGGAGGACCTCAGTTTAGCTTGTTTGTCATGCTAGGGCCGAGCTAATACAGATCAGGCAATATAGTGTTTGCGCTATCACGAAGGCTAACAGGCTAAGCTGAGGTTCTTCTTCCATGAAGCAGCTCTGTTGTCCTCCATCCATATTTTCAGTTACAGGCTGAGTCATTTCTACCTTCTCCTCTCTGTCAACGCTCTCTGGTTTCATTTAAAAGAGCCGATCATCAGATATTGTCCAAGATTAACCTTCAGGGTGGATATAGCTCGCTCACATTGAGGACCTATCCACATCATCATTTACCCAGAATGCTTTGAGTGTAAATAAAATGGCTCCGGCTGTGTAATATATTTTTAAACTTTAAGTTGAAAAATTATAAAAACTAAACAGCCTACTGTATTTTTACAGTCTTTATTTTACATTTAAAATATGTTTATCAAATAAAGTTTAATGTTACAACTAATCATGGATCCCTTTTTAAATGAACTTGTTTATCTTGAAGTGCTTAACAGATAACAGCTCGGGTTAAATCATACAACAGATATGTGTGCCAAGCTTTCACAGGAGCTGCCAGTTGTTGCTTTTCTGCGGTATTTTCAGGAGGAACAGATCACAATAGAAAGTAAATGTCACGGTATTAAGGTGTGTAATATTTCTTGTTTTAGCCTTTAGTGACATACGCCGAGCCTCCAGCTTTTTTTTTCAGATTTGCTGTTATGTAACACTGTTGTTTGTTTGAACATTTCTTAGAGCTCACATTAGAATTTAGTCTTACCTGCTTTGTTCCCGTTGAGTTTATGAGTCTAATGCAGCCCTTCAGTTTGATGGAGGTCTTGGTTATTTGAACTCAGAGTCAGTGTTTTTATTATGTTGTCCAGAAAGAATAGCAGGCTGTGATAAAACAGTAAATTTGTGGCCTTTATCTTTTTTTTATGACTCAAGTCACTTTCATACGTTGTACCAAACCAAATACATGATTAAATTGTAACAAATGATCATTCAAAAAAAACTGTATCAAAGCATAAGTTGTAATTAAGCATTAGGACTGGTCGGTGTGAACGTTGTTACTTTCAGTCAATTCAAACATTTTCTAATAAGCAGAAGGTTAGGGGGCGTCTGTCAGGTTCAGCCCTTCTGTTCTGGGATGCATAGTGATGCGGACCCTCTGTGTCTCCCACCACTCTCCAGATCCACCCTGACCTGAGCAGGCAGCTGCTTCAGGACGGTTACCGCCTGGATGAGATCCCCGATGATGAAGACCTGGACTTGATTCCACCCAAAGCCATGGGCTCCTCTGTGTGCTGCTGCTGCGAGCCCCCGTCCTGCTGCGTGCAGTGACGTCAGCGCCGACGGGGGTCTCGGACCTAAATAAAAAAACGAGGACTCGGCTCTAATGTCAGCTGGCTGTCGTCGTTGGAGCCAGACGACCTCCTTTCTCCCGCCTGCTCGGCTGCTGCGTGCCGCTCAGAGGACGTGCGGCTCTTGACGCCTGACGCAGGAGCTCTGAGATCGCTCAGCCCCACAAAGAAGACGCAGGTGGACACGAGAGCAAAGCCTTATCCCACTGTGACTCCAAAGCCTGACCAAGTTTTATTTAACCGTTTGTTTTTTTTTGCATCTTTAGACTGAACAGAATACAAGTCGCTCAGCATGTGTTGTATGACCATGTTGACTCAAGGAGGAGCTGGTTAATGTATTTTTTTTCTTTCTCAAACAGGTCTGCAACTTTATAAGCACAACACGCTTATAAAGCTCTCTGAACTGATGTTAGCCCTCTGAACTTATCTGCATTCATTAACTCTTTAACATTAACTTAATCAAAGCAATGGCACTCGATTACAAAGTATTTAATTCTTTTATATTTGCTTTTTTTTATTACATCTAGCATCAAAACCTACATATGACTTTAACTCCAAATGATATTAGCGCTAAATAAAATGGCTCCTAAAGCAGCTTAGAAGCTGAACACTAAACTGGACAAATGTGTGGTTTTATTGTAAAACTACTTAATTTCCTCTTCCTGGTTAAGGAGTAAATGCTCCTTTTTATTACTATCAAGTAAATCGATATTTATAAGCTGTCACTGAGCAAATTGTAACTTACAAAAAACATAGTTTGAGTTGGAGAAGTTCTTTGACATGGTTAAATAGYTGAGATTTTTGTTTTCACTTGACTTTTATAGCACTTTGAGGTTTTTGTTAATGAAAAGTGCATTGCAAATTAAATTTATTATTATTATTATTATTGTTATTATTAAATATCTAGGTATATTCAAACTAAATCTACATACACTTGGCACTATCACACTGCTGGTTGTGGCTTAAAAAGCAAGTACAAGACATTTTACTACAGTTGGTTTTCATAATCTTTGCATTGTATGTTTATTTCCAAAAAAAAAAAAAACCCCAACAATATTCAACAGTATTTTTAAAGTTCAGAATTGTAGGCAAAAACTACTTGAGTAAGTTTGTCATTGACTTTTACACTTGGCAAAAATCTGTAAATTCAAAGTTTTTATCTAAAAGTTGCTTTAGTTTAAAAATGTTTTGTCAGATGGGGGAAAGAGTCTCCAGGTTTTGAATATTTATTGTGGCCAGGATTAACGTGTCGTACCTGATGATAACTCCAAAGAAAAGTCAGTTTCCGTGTCACATTTGTCACGTTTTTGTACTAATTATTATATTTCGTCTACATGAAAACAGTTGTTACAAGTTTGTTACAGCTCATGTATAAGTTCAGATTTGATGGTTTGTATTCATGCGTAACTAAAAAAAAAAACTAAATGACTGATATTTTCTGTGCACTGAAATTCTGGATCATGTTTGCTTTGATTTATTTTAAACCGTAACACAAACCGTAAGATGAGTGTTTACCTTCTCAGGAGATTTGTGTTTATGCATAAATAGAGATGTTTGCCTTTTACGTACATTTGTTAAGTAAAAGTTTGAGAACTCCACAGCTGGTCCCGTGCGTAACCGTTTTGAGGTAAATGTAAAAGCAACTTTTATTTCTCACGCCAGGATATTATTGTCACTCAAAGCTACAAAGAGAAATGCTAGAACACACTGATTCACTGTAATGTAGGAAGCTTTGGAAAATGAACTTTCAGTTTTTATGGAGGTGACTGAATTCATCCGAACAGAGTTGCGTCATACATGYGGAGCAAAATCCTTCAACTGGACCAGAAGAGTTTTCTGTGCAATATATGGAGCCCGGTTCTGGCTCTGTGTTGTGTTTTGCTGTAGATAAATCTTTTTGCACTTAACACCAGTGGCCGGTAGCACGTACACACCTGACTCACCTGTACTATGCAACATTTGGGACAATCTGTTGGCTGTGCAACGTTGTGACATGGCTGTGTTGTTGAGTGCAAGAAACAAAGTGTTTTTATCGCGATAAACGCTACTCCTTTGTTTGATTGTACCCTTTTAATGTTTACATTATAAAGATAACTTCAGTTATGGACGTTTTCGRTGTGTTTTGATTTGAACAATTATTGCATGCTGCCTACTGGGCAACCATTCAAAGCAACGGGCAACAAGATTTTCAAAATTTCCAGGACAGTTGAACCAAAGTACTTGGAAGTCCTGCACCTTTTGTGACCTCTGCTCCTGCATATCTCTACCTGCCCAAATTCTCTTCCACCTGCTTCCTGTTCTCATCGCAGTTCATAATGTCACCTGCAAACAACACACCACAGGGATTCCTGCCTGACCTCTCCTAATAGTCTGTCCATCACCAGAGCAAACAAGAAGGGGCTCAGATCTGATCCTTGATGCAGGCCCACCTCCACTTTGAAGCCATTCGTCACTCATATAGCACATCTCCCTGTTCATAAATGTAGTAGTAAAGGACAATAAATAGARGATTTCTGTGATCGATAGAGTGAGATGGAGGCAAATTTCTACTCCTAAATTGTGTGTAGCTGAAAGGGAAATAAAAGAATAAGTATAAGCAAGTATAAGTGTATATTTCAGTTTATTTTCCTTAAAGCCGTAGCAGTAGAAAACAGAACGTAATATTAGTTTCTTCATCATCAGTGACTTTTTTTAGAGAAGTAAATCTAGAGAATAAAAAGAGAAGAAAAATGAGAAGTGTAATGGGAAAGATTGAAAGAGAGATTACAAGATATTCAATTGAATTTAAAAAATATTTTATTGATCCCAGAGGGAAATTAGGTAAATATGTATGTGAAATATACATCAAGAAAACACAAGACAATACACCCAACATCTGTCTGCGCACCTGCAAAAATGGAGAAGACAAAATATATTTTCAGCTTTGATAAGAGAAAAAAATATTAAAAAAACACTAGCGGTTTTTATCCACCAGGGGGAAGCAGAGCAGAGTTTTAGACCTGTTGCGCTTCATATTCAACTCCAAAAGTTTTTTTTTTTTTGTCTCATCTATTTCAAAACACTTTCTTGTAACCATAAATATTTTTTTATGAAAACTTCTTCAAAAAGGCTCATAATCTATAAAACTGTCAACAAACTTTGCTCGGAGCTCCCTTCAACATTARTGCACATCATCTGATGGTCATTCATTGACTCCTGCACGCTGACCCGGGCATTGTGGCCGTTTCATTTTTTGGGAAATTAAAAGGTTGAACTTTAACACACGCGTGTATATTAGAGAAACTCCGAGACAGTCCTTCAAAAGTGTAATTAAATACTTGTTGCTGTCACTGGGCGGGTCTAAATGCTGGTGTGCGCCATGTGAGGGGGGTGTCAACTCAAGAGAGAGAGAGAGAGGTGGGGGGGGAAATAAACCGACAGGGAGGAACCTCGGCGCTTCCCGAGACATGAGAACGAGCCATTAACCGACCTGTCCTCTCATCTATTAAAGAAAAAATAAACGGGAAGTAACTGGAAGGTGGGTAAAGAGAGAGGGAAATCACAACACAGAGCTCCGGTTCTCAGAGCAGCAGTCTGCGGAGCGGCGCGCGCGCGCTCGTGCACTCTCGCTCGTGTGTGTTTACAAGCGTTTGAACGGCTGCCAGAAACGAGGGAAGAAGAAGAAGAAGAAGGAGAAGAAGAAAAAAAAGGAGGAGGAGGATAAAGTGAAGGAGGGATGGTGGACAACTCCAGCAGCAGTAAGGCACAAATGGTGAGTGGTCGCGCTTCTTCTGCTCCGAASCGAGCTGGAATTAAAAATAAAATAAAATAAAATAAACCTTCTTCGACGGACCCACTTTTTTCCGGTGAAGCGTTAGGCATTTATAGTTTACCGAAAGTTTAAAAAAAAAAGAGGATAAACTTTAAAGAGGTAACCAACTGTCGCTCATTTCCACTAATATTTTATTACCTTGTAATGAACGAGAGAAGCCTCAGAGAATTCACCTTTATCGCTCGTGATTTCCACTTATTTTGAGGATGTGGCAGCTATAACAGGGAGGAGCTGCCTAACTGTTTTAAAGTTTGTTTTTTCTCCCCCTCTCCACTCACTCCGGTGACTGTTTGCTTTTTATATTACCGAGGTATTAGCCTCACTGGAGTGGGTGTTTGAAAATGTATTTAGTGACACAACTTAAAGGAAGCTGATGAAAAGTGGGCGCGGATGCGTCAAGTGTTCATGTGTCCTCCATTCAAACGCTGTGTGTGGATCTGACACACTTCTTATCATTTGACCTACTGAAAGTTGATTTATAGTTAAGCTTGAAATTATTAGCTTTGGGAAGATGTTTTGCTGATTTTATTTTAGATTTCAATGTTAATATTACACGAGTATGAGAGATTTTATGAACATTTTATGAGTTGGTTGATTATGAGATTTTGTTAATCATGTGTAGGGCTCATAAAAATGTATTGCCTTTGAATATTCAATCTGATTTTGTTAAGAGGGAAAGTTGTTATAATTTGAAAGGATTTGAGAATAAACCTGAAGGATAGATATCAGTTCAAGGAATAAGACTGTGGAATAACTTGGACAGCGATTATAAAAAAATGCTGACTCGATTAATTTATTTGGTAAAATGATAAAAGTTAAATTGTTGAAAAAATATGAAGCTGATGTTTGAGGGGTTAATTAAAAATTTGTTATGCTGATGAGTGTGTACAACTGTGTGTGTGTGTGTATACATANATATTTATGTTTGTGGTTGTAATGTGACAAAATATGGAAAAGTTCAAGGGGTATGAATACTTTTGCAAACCACTGTACAAACCAACCCCTGGCACCACACCCTGCCACATCTCCAACAGTCTAATGGTCTATGTCATGGGCTTTCATGTGGGACATCTGGGTTCAAAACCCAGCTAACTCAGCTTTAACAAAAAATCTCTTCCAACTTCATATTGTCACCCAGTTACCTTAATTACAAACACATGCTGACTTGACAGGCACAAGCTGGTATAGAAAACACATTTGAACTTGGTCAAAGTTCATTCTGAAAGTCCAATGCTCCTGCACACATTGTCCTACAGCTGCCATTGTAATTTCTATCTGTAAAGGTCCTGTGCCAAATGATTGCTTTGCCTTTTGGTACCTGTACAACTTGTAGTTTTTGAAATATTAATGTTTCAACTTTATTCCAAATTCAGATAATGGGAGTCAATGGGGCCTTGTAATGGTCTAATACTAACCCCAGCTGTACTCAACTTGGTACTGCACCATAGTTTTTTATATTTAATCTCAATAGTTCAGTGTTTACAATACTAATATGATTGTATTTTGATGTTTTACTATAATATTGTCTTAATACTGCTCTATTGTTGTAATATTATGCATTTTTGCATCAATAATTGTATTGGCAATGTGGCCTCTTTCTGCACACATACAAACCAACCCCTGCCACTATCTTTTGCAACAGCTCCATTGGTCTAATGGTCTATGTCATGAACTTTCATGTGGGAGATCGGGGTTCAAAACCCAGCTAACGCAACTTAAACAAAAAATCTATTCAAACTTCATATTGTCACACAATTACCTTAAATACAAACACCTGCTGATGTGACAGGCACAAGCTGGTACAGAAAACACATTTGAACTTGGTCAAAGTTCATTCTGCAAGTCCAATGTTGCAGGCAAAGCCAAGCTGCAATGACATGCTACATGGCAATGCACACTTGATTTTACATCGTAAAAACCCATGTCTAGTTCTTAATGTTTTCTTTGTTGTTACATTTAGTTATACCCTAAAAAGCCAATTGAAAGCATGTGATGTAAAACATAACACCACGGTTAACGGGGCAATGGGCGTGGCCAACATGGGTGGGCCGCAAACCTTGAACTGAGACACCGCTCATGTGTCAAACCAACCCTAAACATGTTACGTGTAACGCTTTATAGATCATAATTAAAAGCGTTCACGTCTCTTTTAGAGGGGAAATTGGAGAAAATTCCGTAAAAGCCAGGAGGCGGAGCTACAGCTGACTGAAACAGGAAGAGCAGCCGTGTGACAGCATCGGAAATCGTGTTTCTGCTTATTTACTTCTTATATTTAAACATTAACAATAAATAATATTTGTAGGCCCCAGATTAAAGTGAACATACTGCATCTCCATTTCTTTTTTTAAATCTTGCAACAAATCATCTGACTGAATGGCAACCCAGCTGCAAAGAAAACATCTAAAAACTTTTTTTTTGCAACAATTTTGAGTGTATTTTTGAGTTTTTGTTCAGTCTCTGTTGTTTCCTGTAAACTGAAACTATGAGTCAGAAGTTCTGCTCTGTTTATAAGAGGAGACTGAATGCAAACATCTATCCTGGCTCACTGCTCACAGCCCAGCTTTGTTGAGAACGGCACTGCTGCAAGTCMAAGTCAATATTAGTGATTATATAAGAATGTGGAGACGCATGTTGTAAAGTTTTTATATCCAAAAGAAAATAATCAATATTAATTTAGCATGAGTTAAATCTGTGGTTATGTTAACACACATACTATGTTGTTAGCAAAACATTCGCGGATGAGGAACTGTGCCCACCACTGCAAATCAACACTCAGTAAATCATGAACTCACGTGAGTCTCTCTTTAGTGGCCGCAGGGCTTGCTTTGCGTTGGCCTTCTTGCGGACGGCCTGTTCGTGTCTGAACTCCCTCCAGCGCCTCAGCTGGAAGCGGATGAACTTCCACAGAAGCCAAGACTGAGTCAAGCACACCAGGAGTAACACMGTCATCCTGAAAACACCCCGAGGCAACGAGATTAGAGCTGGCATTTATGCAGGAATTCTTTGCCAAATGATCGCGCTGGCTTCGTGTTTTGTGTTTGAAGTGAGCCCTGAAGCACACACAGCTTCATTTTGTAGCTCAGCAGCGTAGTTTACGCTTTGATGCTGCCAAAATAGTAAATCAGTGGAAATAAAACACATCTTAAACAAACAAGTAAATCTTTAGGGTATTTAAACTAAAGAAATCTGCATTTTCTGTGAAATTATGCATGTGTATATGTATGTATATGTGTATATGTATGTATATGTGTATATGAGTATATGTGTATATGAATGTGTGTATGTATGTGTACATGTATGAATATGTATATATTTTTATTTTTATTCTTTTTTTGTTAAATGGGGCAGATATAAGTTTTTTCTTCTTCTGCTTCCTTTCATTTTATGAGATTTGTGTTTCTTTTGTTTGTTGTATTGAAATTTTTGTTTTTAATCAAAATGAATAAACTATTAAACTAGATTTATACAGTTCTTAATGCTTGAAATGAGTGAAAACCCTGCTGTTGAGTTTTCTGTATGTGAGCAAATTAGTGTCAGAAGGTTTCTAGTTTACATTGCTTGCATTAAAGAGCCATGCCTCATGACTTCTTGTCCTTCTGCCACAGCCAAGCATGTCTCAGGAGCCCGGCGTGGCTTTTCCCCAGAACACCTCCTCAGGTGGCATGAAGCTGGAGGCGGTGATGGAGCAACTCCAGCGCCAACAGCAGGCCCGCCTGGAAATGGAGCGCAAAGAGAGGAAGCTACGAGAGGCCCACATCATGTACGCGCAGCAGGTCGCCGCCCAGCAGGCCATCCTGGCCGCAGCCCGAGCCTCGGGGGCCAGCTTCATGGGCAAAGCCATGCCCGGCGGCCATCCCGTCAGCAGCCTGCCCGCTCGAGTCTCCAACCAGAGCAGCGTGGACTCCGAAAGAGAGGACGACGAAGACAGAGGTCGAGACTCCGGGGACGAGGACGATGACAATGAGATGATGGAAGGGGACGAGGGCAGCGATGAGGACGAGGGAAGCGCCAGCGGTCTGGAGTTCCTTCGCAAGCAGACCCTCGCTTTGCAGCAGAGTGCCTCCCGCATCCCGGCCCGTCCGTTTGCAAGCTACTCTGTGTCGGCCCCCCAGAGGGCTGCCTCCCCTCCTGTCAGAGTGAAGCAGGAACCCGATGAGGGCATGTCCCCTGCAGGGCCCAACTCTGCCACCTCTCCTAACGGACAAGCCGACTGGGGATACGACGATCACTTTAGACAAGTCAGTATTACTTTTCACTTGATATCTCCAAAATATTCTTCTTTTTTCCAAATGATGTTTTAGTTTGTGTTTTCTAAATGCTGCCTCTCAAAACATATCATAAAATATTTTCAGGCTTATCGCTGTCAGCATGACTCACTCTTATTAAGTGTCTAAAACTAGTTATTTAGATTTCTCTGCCAAGATCCCCGGAGTGAAATGCTGACTAATCTTGACTGCGCTGTGCTCTGCTTCAGCAGTATCTTTGTAAAACACTTCAAATCTCAGCAGGGGGCTGACTGCCGATTGGCTTTTGTGGTGAGAAAAAAAAAAGCCTCCTGAGTGAGTCTTGGCAGACGGCCAGGCTGAAGTGCAACGTGTTTACGCTCACTACTTCTCTCCTTGCGCTCACTTTTTGAGTGTGTATGTGTGTGTGTGTATTGGTCTTCCTCCCTCTTGGCGCTTTGCTCGGGCTTTGGTTTGGCTCCGATCCAAGCAGCGGAGTTAGGCGGGGCAGTTCTGCTGCTGTGAGACTGTGGGTGGTTTGCCGGGTCAGACTGATGATTTTGGGTGGGTGAAAAGGTTGGATGTAGTACACAGTAGCAGCCTGTCACACCCGCCCCCTGCTCTCGCTACCCCAAGAGTTTCGGCTGCGTGCCAAGTGAACTTTCCCTTGAAGGTAAATATTGCCTCAGCACAGTGTAGCAGCACGGAAATGCCAACAGGAGTCCAGCCAAGTTCCATGTGGTTTAGCATCATAGCTTTGGACACGGCGAGTTAAACTTGGAGCTGCAGGGCCTGTAAGTGATATAAAAGGATGTAGCTTTGCAAGAATGGATAACGGGACAGGATCTAACTGTGCTTGATCAGTGAGCTAAAGGAGCCTGACGGACATCTGTTGGGATTTGATTACTGACTATTTAAAGGAAAATGTTTCAATATTGTTTAGGGCCTTCAGCTACAGGTTGGAAACAGCTCCGATCCCAGCCTGTTGTGCACGGCCCCTAAGGTGGGCGACAAAGGCACGTTGTGCACGCACCTAACATAACTGAAAATGTCAAAGTTTTATTACTTTAACACACCCTTTAAATCTTATGTATGCATGCAAAACAAAGCCTTTCTGTTGTCAGTTGAAGCATGTTAATCTGCATTTCTGCAAGATRCCACGAAACTGGAGTTACGCCCAGAACAGCTTGTAAGAACATCACACTAACATTGGATATTTCAAACTTTTTTAAACAGCAACATTAAACAGATAAAACCACCTGAAAACACTTTAATGACTTATAGAGTTTCAGAGTGAGAGAAAAGTGTCTTGTAGACGGATAAAACTGAGAATTCTTGTCTTCTTTTTTGTTTAAAAGTTTTGCTCTCAGTTTAGTAGCCTCCAAGTAGGATGTTACAGCGTAAGAGCTCAGGGGTTAGCACTGACGCCTCACAGCAAGAAGGTCCTGGGTTCCAACTCCGGTTCAGTCTCGGGCCTTTCAGTTGTTCCTGCATGGGTTCTCTCCGAGTACTTTGGTTTCCCCCACAGACCAAAAACATTTACAATAGGTTGTCTTCAGGCTCAGGCCTCCCTTGGAAAAGAGATCTGTGATCTCAATGGTTAAATAAAGGTCAATAGATTAAAACAAAAAATTTCAACCGTGCGCTTTTGTAAAAACAACTGAAACTATGTTTGCAACCTTAAGCGCAGCCTCATTGTTAAAAATTAGCAGGTGTGTTTTTATTATTGACAGTCAAAACATTATAAATACCCGCAGCTACTATAAAGTCACCTGGCACATGACTGAATACCGATTAAACATTTCCACGTGACAGTTAGCAACTTGCTTCCTTTTTGCTGTGAAGATGAGCTCATTCAGGATAAGAAACACAAAGGGCGACGCTCAGACTTGCCAAACAAAGTTTCAGGCAGTTCTCCCATTCTGTAGTACATATTTGATGAAGTCTTTAGCCCAGTTGTGATAATTAAATCAGTGTTACTTACTGGGCTGTTGCAAACATATCTCATCCTAGCGTTCCCACGGGTCCTGGAAATCCTGGAAAGTTTGTGAATTTGAAAAAAATTATTTCAAGGACCTGGAAAGTTTTTGAAAACAACCAAAAGTTACACTTGACTTTGAAAGTCTTTGAATTTTCTCTATTCACTGATTTTCATCATCTGTAAAAAAAAATAAAATAAAATAAAATAAAAAACCTTAAATTTGTTGTGGTGGATAACTCAGGATTACGGTAAACTGACGTGGCTTTCGACAAATAACATGAGTCATATTCGTAGTTTTATCCAATCAGAGCAGAGAAGGGCGGGTCTTTCTGAGCCCAGGTGAGAGCACCACAGCTCCTCCTGGACATGTTCACATCCCCCCCTCCCAAACTGAGCTGCTGAACCTCCCAGGACATAATTACATGTCATGGATGTAGGGTATACATTTAATCCACTTTCTTTCACTGATTCTGACTCAACAACGTCTATGTTGTTCAGTTTTTCATTGAATTTGTGTYATATTAAACCTGTTTATTGGTAACATTCTGCGGTAGCAGTAAGTAATTGCCGTCACGCGTGGTTCTTGAATTTGAGGAAATTGGTACTGGAAAGTCCTTGAAAGGTCCTTGAATTTGATTTTGACCAAAGTGTGGGGACCCTGTCATCCATGGACCAGACATAGTGCAACTCAATGTGGTTGTTGGTTCTGACTGATTGTGATGAAAAAGGATGCCAGTAAGATTTAGGAGATATTCTTTCTGTTTGTTCATACACAGGTTTATGCGTTGTTCATGTGAGGGGAGAGCAATTATTTGTAAATGCAAAGTGGAGAGGTTTTAAAGGTGAAGATAATCTGCTCTGAAATTCATTTCCAAATTTAGTTTAGCAACAGKTTATGCCGTAGTTGACTGTATCACCATACAGAGACTTTGGGGGAGTTTTTTTTCCTTCATGGCTTTACCGTTTGTGCAAGTGTCGAAAGTAACAGAGTTGTATTTTACTGTGAGATGTGCAGGATTAGTCTGATTTGCCTGATCATAGCAGCCAAGTCRTAGCTGACCGGTGCCCTATGTGTGGCCTGGTGTCTTTTATTAGGAGAGGCGGGCAGAGCCTGGGGGTTGGGGGAGGCATTATGGGACGAGAATTGGTCTGGCCTTTTTTTGTTTCCTCTCTTTTATCTTTCCTGTCATTATGTCAGCTCTGCAGTATTTAATGACGGCTCATCTCTTCAGGCAGTTTCAGGTTGCACTGCTGTAGGGGGAGGGGATCAGTGGAAGCTGGCAATGTGTGTGTTTTTTTTTAAATGGTATTGTCTTTGAGGGGCCAGAGACCAGCCTGGCAGATGCCACAAATACCACTCATCTAAAATAATAGSCAAGAGCATTTATTACATTCTAAAAGCAGTGACAGAGAGGAGACACACTGACAACAGAGAGTTTTATGCAGGAAACCCCTTACTTTAGCATGTGCTTGTCCGTCTCATGTATCCAGTCACAKTGGGGAGGCTTTTATCTAAAGTACTCTTAATGCACGATTGCTGTCCAGAGATACTGCCATGAGGCAAGCCATATTTAGAAAAAGTTTGGCTCCTGATGTTATCCAGAGCAAAGAAGTGATAAAATCAAGATAGTAAAATGTTCGTTTGCCTTTCACCAACGTCTAACTAAAACTGCCTGTTGAAGAAATGAACATGTTACAGTACTAACGCTTTTGTTCGTCTGAAATTGTGATGTTACGCAGTTGGATGAGATAAGCCACACCTGACTGACAAGTATTCTATTAATCCATCTTGCTGTTGATTACTCCTGCCTGCTTGAATGTATATGGATGTCTAATTCAGGGCAGATGGATGTGGACGAACTTGTTAACTGGTGTTTTTGTGTCAGTGATGTATTCAGGTTGACCTCGGCACTCTCCTAAATAACGGAGTAAAAAAATGTCCAGCTCGGGGATGGACAAAGGTGCTGTGTGGAAAAAGAAATGGGCTGGCAGCCGTCCGACCTCAGCACTCAGGCCTCTTTTGCTTTAAGACGGAGGCTACACGACCTCTGTAATCCAGTCCTTTCATTGCCCCGCTCCAACGTCCACTGAAATATAGACCTCTTTTTATTATCATATATACGTTTTATGACTGTTATTTAGTGGTTTGTTGTTACCATTAGTACATTCATTGTACACGCCTTGTTGCATTAAAATGAATTATTACATTGCTTTTTTTAGTTTGGCTAGATGTTGACACCATATTTAGGTCTGTGAATTTTTTTACACATTAATAAAATTGGAGGCAGTAAATTTGAGCCATCATGATAAATAAATTCTAGTTTATTGTTAGTTGTTGTACAGCTTACCCTTCTTGTTTATTACAGTGTTATATGATCAAAACAAGGCATTAAATTGGCAGAATCAGCAGTATTTTAACAACTTAATGACCTACACAGTTTTGTTGTTGACTCTGTGTCATGCAGATGAGCTGTCATTGTAGTGATATTCAAGCAATCCTGGGGATTACTGAAGATGGAAACCCCAGTTGCTTTATTATTACAGACTTAGGGAATCAGTGCAACAGATGCTTGCCAAGGCAGGAATATGGTCTAAACCTGGTGGGAGGAATGCAAACAAAGGAGGAGGAAGAAGTCGCTGAGCAGACCACCGTGGACCAAATCTGGTTCTTCTGGATAATTGGGCATCTGGTATTGACGAGCTGCGGGAATGACTGCCACTCTCGAGCCCTGCTTTTCCTGCTCAGGCACCGAAGCCCGTCTGTTGAGGCAGCGCTATTGCATAATTTAGCTGTCGCCCCAGCAACACATCAGTCAGGAAGTGGGGAGCTGCACGGCTGTAGCAAAGAGATCGATATGGATTGTGTGCGAGCTTTTAGTGGCAGGAATGTTTGGCATTGTTTTCTGCTCATTTTTGATCATAAAGGAAGAAGTTGAATTAGGGATGCACGATAAMTTATTTTAAGAACCGATACTGATAACGTTCTCCTTTTTTTTCCTTTTTTTTCATCACTTCAGTAGAAAAAAATAACTTAATATTAGTTTCTTAATTTCTTCATCATCAGTGATTTTTTAAAGTAAAGAGAAAATAGAAAAAGTGGGAAAAACAAAGA